TGGAAAAAAAATGATGTATATTGTTTAACAAGGAACAGAAAATGAAAAAGGGAGGTAAGGAAAATAATATATACAAAGATTAGGGGAAAATATGAAAAAATAGAGTATACAAAACCCTCAGAAATGGTTCCAGGGTCCCACGGAGTGAAAGGACAACTTCCCTCTCCGAGCTCCAAGGCAGGAGTGAGTTAGCACCCACTTTCTGCCTCTTATCAGAGTGTGTGTGGGAAGGGGAGGGAATACAATGGTTCACCCCCACCCGGGGTCCTCCCAGTTGCTGGAAGGTCACGACCCCATTCCAAGCCTCAAACCACAACAGATTCATTTCACCTGACTTTAGGAACCTTGAAGTTATACAATTCATAGGGAGTTATACAGGCTTTCTGTAGTTGGCTTAGAAAGACGGACACTGTGAGAGCTGTCTGGGAAAACTGGATAAGAGAAATCTTGTCCACGATGGCAGTTTCATGAGAGTAGTGAAGTCTAAAAAGATTAACCAGTATTTTTGCATGTGGTATTGCTTGTGCTACCAGTAGTGGTTTTATGTATCATATTTTCATAAAAATCACTCAGTCGCTTAGATGTAACAAACATCCTAAGCCAATAGCGCTATCAATCAGGTTATTTTTACAAGACAAACTCTATAGCTAGCAGATGTTAAAAGAGTCAACACTATCTTTTTATTTATTGTTGAGTTATAAGCTGGAATTAGTAGTTTTCCTCTCTTGCAGTGCATGCTCAGCACATACCAGACATTCAATTCTTTGCCATTGTTTGGACAGACCTGTGTAGTACTTAGTTTTGCAGATGAGGGAATAGCTGATGTAGCACATTTGATTTACTTACATCTGCAGTAAAAGTTTTTCTGGAAGAAAACTTTTCAAAAATGAAAAAATCATCTCATATAACACAATGGAGACCCTAGAAAACTTCAGCTTCAGTCTCCTGTTAAGTGAAGAGTTATCACTGTCATCAGAATGCCTCAGTCAGCAGAACTGGAACATGTATAATAAAGTCATATTGTTCACTGTGGTGATAAGAATTGATTTTAAAAATACAGCTGTCAAGCTTGCTAAGAAGCAGGATAGAAATATACAGAAGAGTAGGAGAAAAAGAAGCAGCTGGACAAAGTGTTCAGCTTTGTTTCATTCATCACTCTCTAAATGATATCACTTCAAGACAGGAAAACTGGACTAGCAGAAATACAGAGCTGGCTTTTTTAGGCAGTCTCAGGAAATTTGCATTTGTGGGAGCAAGTGAGAATCTCTCCCAGACCCAGCCCTCCCTGTACTGTTCAAGGTTCTCCAGCAGGTCCCTGGGGCTTCCGCCCACCAAGGATGCAGCTCCTTGCCTGCTGTGAGTGCTGGCATGTCTCCATGCTGAGGCACAGTGCTGGGTGGGAAGGAGTGCATGATGGACTGAGTCTGCAGGAAGGAAACTATGGCTGGGAAGGTGTTTGAATTAGGGGATACCTGAGGAAGTGACCTCCCTGCCTGCCAGAAGCGAGGGGAGTGGAAGGAGCAGCTGCAGCAATACAGAAGGTCTCTCTCTCCCTCCCTGGTTTGTGGAAAGCCATAATTTCTCATCTGCAATGACTGCTCTTGTCAGCTTGTCAACCTGCTCCACGAAATGCTTTGTGCCTTTTGCCAGATGTGAGAAAGGTGTGCCTGTGTCCCTCAAATCCAGTC